AACTCTTTAAGCACCAAATTATTTTATAGAGATCTTTCAAAATTTACCTAATTTTTTTGTTTAGCAAGAGACAAAGTAAGAATTAACATGGTTTAAGGGAAATCTGTATACACCCTTTACTTACATTTTCAAATCATTTTAATACACTGATATCAATATTAAATAAATATTATTGAAGTATCATCTTCAGTATCAAAATTCGTCCACAACTTTAATTAATTGATTTCTGTTCATAAAACCCGCAAACTCTCATAAACGTCTGATCAAACACTTACCTCTACCACTTCGGCCGACGAACCTAAGATCGTTGAACTTGGCCACCTGGTTCTTCATAAGGGCGGTCGAGTTCCTCAGCTCAGCACAACAGTTCTCGTCGTTACCAGCACGAACGGTGACCAAAGTGCCGTCGCCGACTTCCCCGAGGGCCACCACCTTGAACGCGACAGGCAAGGTCTTGTTCGACCTCCAGTGAGCTGGCAAGACGCTGCACACTAGGTGTGGTGATCCTGAATCAAAATTAAATGAGCGTTTCACAAATATAGCACAAGTAGTGTTGAATTTTTCAAATGGAGGATAATCAATAATTGAATGCTAAAAATAGACCGCGGATTTTATGACAAAATTAAACATCCCAGGAAATATGAAGTATGCATATAATCATGAAATGATAAGTGTATATCGCAATGATTGAATTTAGAGAGCAATTTTATTCATTGGTCGTTTCTCATATTGATACCATAAAGGTTTTATTAAAAGTCCGGTGTTCATTTATCAATCTATCATTTTATGATAGCCTCGATTGTATCTCTCTGTTATTTCAATTTCCAATTTATTTGAAAAATATTCATCAGTTTTATGCAGTGGTCTAGCGCAGTATACATAGAAGAGTTATAGCATATAGATGGGCTTATAGACAATTTTATGCAATGGCTTAGTGCGACAGATAGTATTTCATCTAGTTCACACATATAATCAATCGTAACTGTGTAATGCAGTGATGAAAACAGTTTTATATGCACGACTAAGGATTAATTTAGTAATTAAGTTAGCAATGTGCGACAGACACATAATTTACTATTAGAATGTAAATGATATAATTAAAAGTTTCCACTTTTTTAGTTTCCTGAACTATTTTCTACATTGCTTTCCTGTTTCAGTGGAGCTCACGATTTCATAGTATTATGAGGAATTCTATAATTTGTGATAAGCATATAAAACTATGTGATTCTAATTTTTTCCTGATTTATTTAATTCTCTTTGGGTTTGACGTTATAATGTTTAATTAATGATTTCTGCCATGGAGTGCTGTAGGATTTCATCTGTTTATAGCATATCAGAAGTCCTATGATTTTAGATCAGTATAAAAAATTGTATGATCCTGACTTTCCCCGGCCTTATTTAACTTTGGATGTGTTTCATTTTATAATGTTTAATTAAAGATTTCTGGCACAGAATGCAGTACGTGCTCACCTGTTCGTACGAGTTCTCCCGGATGCTCGCTAACGAAGTCGCCCAGCGTCCTCTCGGCGAGGATGTCGCTGGTCATCTTTGTGTAGGCATCGGTCAAAGGAGATACGCCCGACTCCGGCGAGGCGGCAGCGCCAGGAGCCGAGGCTCCTGTCAACTGCATCCTGTCGTTGGTTCCGGCGCTCTCGCTTGTACCAGTCCCGGTCGTTCCACAGCTGGACTCGTTGTTGTTGGAAGCCCTCACCGAGGCAGCTCCTCCTCCGCCGCCGTTACCGGATACCGTGGTTCCGCCACCGCCGCCGTTGCAACGGCCGAATATATCCATAGGCAGTCAGAACGCCGGATGATACATCCTTCCATTCGGTTCACCGCTTTTACCTATTCTCACGTGTCCCCCGGTCGAGGATTCTTTGACTGTTTCACCGGGGGTCACGCTCTCAAACTTGGCATCGCTGCCCGACGCTACGCGGTGGTCTCCTGTGCGTCTGATCAAATTCTTGATTCAGATCGAAACGAAAGTGAAAATCTTGAAGACACTGGCTTAATTAAAATGTCAACTGCACTTTCTCAAAGTATCTCCTAATGAATTTGGTGTCTTGCGACAGAACGACGACACAGCACAATTTCTTCGTGTCTCGAACGTCACTGTTCACAGTTCAACGGACACTATAATCTTCGTTTCTTCTACCTGCCTCCTTGCTCTCTAAGAACAAACACGAACACCGCCCGAGACTCTACCTGCAACCAACAATATTCATGGTCAGGACTGTGGGATCTTCGCGATGTCTCTATCAGGAATGTTTTCAGAAAGTAAGGGTGTCCAGAAGGGTTGGGCCTGGGAGAACGTCGAGGGGCGACGGTAGCCCGTCGCGAACCGACCCTTCCGCTTCTAATCCATTTAACGACGCCTTTATCTCGCCGTTTAAACTTCTCTATCTAGCGGCGGTCTGCGAACCGATGAACGCGCGTCCCGACGCGTAAAAAGTGCGAGCGAGAAAGTGCGGAAGGGGTGGGATCAGGGGGGTAGGGGACAGAGACGAAGCGGTTGACACACACGGACGGCACGATTCGCACACTTTTCACGCGGCCCGGGATGACGTCACCGTTCATTCAGTAATTTTTGCGCACGTCACCGGGGCTGACACACCGGATCCAGGTGGGCTCCAGCAGGAGGGGTCGTCGCGGTGGTGGGGACGGAAAAAATAGGGGAAAAAGAACTCGCCCGCCGGTAGGCAACCCCCACACGGACATCTCCCAACCCCTACGCACGTAACAACCGCGTGTCAAAGTACACGTGGCACAGCGTTCACCACGTTGCTTGCCTACCGTCCGCGGATGCCACCCGCCGCCGTGATCACCGACGCCCAAAGGTATCTCCAGATATCGGATCCCTCGGCAGACGACCGATGCCTAATCAATCGCATATCGCGGTGATTGGAACGCGTCGTGCGTCGTTAGAGATAATGAGTCGGCTATAATCATCGTTCAATTGCGGTCGACTGTGACTGATCATCCGAATAAAACAGGATTAATTTCATGAAACGTGGAAGTTGGAAGAAATTAGGAACTTCTCAGATTCACGATTTGATGTAAATTGTATCTGGCAATCCGTCTGAACGAATTTGTATATTTATAAAAATCTGTTATGCAAATTTATTGTTCGAGGTTTTATATTTAAATCTCCTTCGGTTGTTTCAAATTCTTAAGAAGTCTCGGATAGACGACACGGCGACGGGTAAGATTCCCGCTTAACTTCGCGTTCAAATCTCTTGCTGGGGTAGCCCCGTACTCGCACTTCCGGCTAGAATATTCGAATCTACGTTCAAATTATTTTATAAACAATTTCGTTTTCATTTAATAATGTAAGTTTGTTCAACCCGACAGAAATTTAACAGAAATTTCATTTGAAGCATTCATAGAAGAATTGATGAATGATTTTTTAATCAACTTCATGTGATACACTGAATTAGCACTGAGAAATACACTCACTGCCTATCCGCGTTCACCATAGCAACGACACTTTCCCCTTTACCACGTATCACTCAGATCGAATCTTCCATGAAGTATGACAGTTCGATCGCTGTCAATGAAAAGTGTCACTATCCACACTCGAAGTAAGTTCGACACCACCGAGTCCATCTCAAACCCACGTCACGCGAATAACCTGAATAAAAATCCTGAAAGCTTCGCAATCAGATTTTATCAGTGAAGATACAGAGTCCTCCCGAAGTCTTAAGATTCTGTAAGAGCCCCACGGACCGTCTTGTTTTGATAGCCGAAGAGCCGAGCCTCGGAACACCCGTTGGGGGCCACTAACTATAATTTCGGCGGTTCGTGTGAGGCAACAGCCGTTGACGCACTGGTCCATGCCAACACACGCAGCATCCCTTTCCCCTTTCCCGGTCCTACTCACACCCCCGCCGGCTGCCCCACTCCTCCGGGATCGGTTCCTCTCTCTGTCCGCGGCACAGGCGTGCCTTCCTGCCTCTCTCTCCCTGTCTCTCGCCTCTCTTTCGTCCCTCGTTCACTCGCCAGACCATCTCCGTCCCTCCGTCGTACCTCTTTATCGCTTTATCTCCCACCGGGCCCCTAACCCTCTCGCGCCGTTCGTCTCCCTCTTTCTCCCTCTTTCCCTCCCCCCTCGGTTTCGACCCTTTTGCGGTGTGGCTCGCGTGCGTCTGACGGACTCTACTCGCGTCGCGGGGCGGAACGCGGACAGAGAGAAAGAGAGGACGTCGATCGATCGATCGATGCCGACTTTTTTCTTCCAGAAATTCGTTACCCTTCGTCCCCTGTTCGGCCTCCGCTCGGCTACGCTCGTAACGAGCGTCGTTACGTTTAATTAGTCGAAAGTTAATGAGGAGACGGACCGTCACCGTCATTGTTCCAGCCGGTTCTTGTTTACCCGCAGCTTCCAGAGGGCACGCATCCGTTCGATACAACGCGGAATCGGTTGAACGCGAGACGGGGGATGTAGGTAGCGAACGCACGTAACTGGACCCCGGGACCTGATCGCCGCCGCGCCACGCCGGATTAGCGGGATCGTTGGTGTTTTTCGTGCAGGGCAACTGGAAACCCTTGTCGAGTGGTTTTCGGGTTTCGCGGTTTCGAGTGCTGTTATATATCGGGTTGCCCCCGATGTTGGGCGTAATCGCGGACGCTCGCTGATGGAGAATAATATGATTTCCAGCTTCGGGTACCCTCGATCGGTCGCCACCGCTTCTATACAAATCCAATACTCATAAACTGAACGATGCGCTGCTCTTGGCCAGGTTTTCCTGGAAAAAATTCCTATTTCTTCCGATTTTTCTGATGGACATCATTTATGGGATGTAAGTGTTTTAAGTCTCATCTTATTGGAGGCAATTGTGTTTCGTTAGATGAATTATCTTTTACGAACTGATGATTGTACTCTTCGTACACAGCCAGTCTTTAATCGCGTTGGGAACATCGCTATTTATTTCAATTGTTTTTTATTAACATCATTAATGGATTGTAAGTGTTTTAAGTATCGTCAAACTAGAGGAGTATTTTGTTGGATAGATTATCTTATCAATAAGCAAGAACACTTAGAAAGAGACTGCGGATTTTTATACAAAATGAAACACTTTAGATATCAATTTAAGAAGTGAGTTCTAGATAGGAACTTGTTAGATCCTTCAAAAGTAGTAATTTGCATTTTACTTTAGGTCTTATATATTGAATTTTATTATAGATACATTTTCTAAGTTTTCTACAATTTTTTTATAAACGTACAAAATCTCCAGTCTATTTATGAATGTTTGGACATCCCAAA